GAAAGAACTCGCAGAGCAAATATTTGTTTCAGGAGGATATTTGACTTTGAGGTTCAGCTCAGTTTAAAGCCTACAATAGTGAAATTTGACAACTGATGTCACTCCCTACTTTAAAGTTCTTCTGAGTGCATGGACAAACATAAACAAAACGCAAAGCATGGACTTGTCCAAATCATTAAATATTGTAAACAAAAATTAAATTAATATTTTATGTAGAAAAGGTGTTCATTAGAAAAGAGGAGTACCTGCCTATCACACCGCTCTCACTCACATGACTAAAAATGTGATGCTTACATGTCTGGTTGTCAGGATGATAAACCCGTTCACAATTGTGCAGCTGAAATGGGACCAGATATATTTAACCACAAACTAAACCAAGCCAATCGTTGCAGTTTATTAAGAAAAAGACGAGGAAATTGTGATAATAAAATTGATCTTTTAGATTGTCCATCCATAGTATATAACAGCCCTAGACAAAACGGATGCTGGTTATCCATAAAAAAAAAAAAGATTGTCACTGTCTTATGAAATCTGACCCTAACCCTAACCCTAATTTTCTAACTTAAATATAATATAAATCAAGTATATCCTCTGAAAATAACTCTGTGAGTCATGACTGTCTACAATGGGTGTAACACCCGAGTCCCACTGTCTGTGATGTTTTCAGAGTTTTCAGAGTCCTATCTTCAGTTTGTTTACATCGCCGGGACGGCCGGCTGACTCCTCCCCTCGTGTATAAAAGTTGTTTAATTGAGGGACTAGAGAAAAGAAGAATAACATACTGTACTCACTGCTTAACTGTGTTTCTAGATCACGCTCATTTCAGGTCAATTTACATGCAGTGTGAAGATACAAGCATAATAAAGATAGCTAGCATTAGCATGCTAACACAACAATGCAGCGCAAGTTGTTTTGGTTTCATGCTGGTGCTCAAGGGCGACATCTACTGGATCAAAAAATCACATATAAAGCCTTTGAGGTATAAGCCTCGATTGTTGTGTCGATATACCTTATGAAACATCAGAAAGAGCAGAACCCTGTCAGAGAATGCTACACAACTCCTTGTACAGGATCTTGTTATATCACTCATGGACTATAATACAACTCAGGCATCACAGAATGCACATTTAAGCCTCTTCTGATGATCCAGATTGGTTCTCATACAACCTAAAACAGCGCATGTTACTCTGCTGTTGATTTCCTACGACTGGTTCCCACTTGCGGCTCACATCAAATTCAAAACCCTGTCGCTTGCTTACACAACAGCTACTGAACTATATTACTTCCTGTACTCCCTCATCCAGGTCTACACTCCGCCAATGAAAGGCACCTGGTACTCTCTTCACAACAGGGCCCTGAGTCGCAAGCTAAACTATTTTCCTCTGTAGTTCCCCGGTGGTGGAGTGAATTACCAAACTCCAAAGAGACACAGCAGAGTGCTTAGTCTGATGCACTCTCTCTAATACACGCAGACATATCAGCACATACACTCTCACAAAGCAAAGAGCTAGATTAACAGTATTATAATGCTCAAACGTAACTACCAGTGCCACAGACAATAGAGCCCAAAGATATTAATACAGACTTTCATTCATTGTCCATTACTCATGCAGTACAGAATGAATCACTAATCCAGCAGCAGCAATATATTTTTACAGCCGACCTTTATTCTGATGTTGAGGGAATATGTCAGCAAATAACTTTAATCCACCATCAACATATTTAATACAGTTTGTTATACTATTCAAATACTCATATTTTGTTTTCTGTGTTGGGGGAACGATGAAGGAAGAGCAATCACATGAGCCGGCCATAGCCTGAAGAATGTGTAGATTACAACACAAAGTCCCTGCAAGCATACATGGCTCTAAAAGGGCATGAGAGCTGACACTGTGATTGGTTTAATTCACATTATGCCAAAAACCAACCTACTGTATAAAGGGACCTCTTTGCGCCTCACTATGCATCCAGATTAACGAGCCCAATATAGACAGACATGCCCTAAATCTCTAAATGCCATGCACCTTAGACCGTTTGTTTCGACTGTCAAAATAGGGCCCATAGCGGTTAGAGATGCTGGTTGTAGATTCATAAATGTAAGACTTTGGTGCTTTCACTATTTAAAAATTGATATGAAATGAAAAGCCTTTGGGTTTTCAGCTGTTGGTTTGACAAGAGAACTAAAGTTTGAAGGCATCCTTTTTGGCTCTGTGGATTCAAATAAAGCTTTATTATTCTGTTAAAGGCTTTCTATGTGATTTTTCACTTTTAAATGTAACTCTGAAAATAACTCTGTGAGTCATGACTGTCTACAATGGGTGTAACACCCGAGTCCCACTGTCTGTGATGTTTTCAGAGTTTTCAGAGTCCTATCTTCACTTTGTTTACATCGCCAGGACGGCCGGCTGACTCCTCCCCTTGAGTATAAAAGTTGTTTAATAGAGGGACTAGAGAAAAGAAGAATAACATACTGTACTCACTGCTTAACTGTGTTTCTAGATCACGCTCATTTCAGGTAAATTTACATGCAGTGTGAAGATACCAGCATAATAAAGATCGCTAGCATTAGCATGCTAACACAACAATGCAGCGCGAGTTGTTTTGGTTTCATGCTGGTGCTCAAGGGCGACATCTGCTGGATCAAAAAATCACATATAAAGCCTTTAACAACACTTAAATAGAAATAAAAATAATTAGAACTTTCAGCCTTAGAAGTGATATTTCGTTATGTCTTAAGGATCTTATTTGCTTCGTTTGTGCTTACACAATATCCCGAAAGTTCAGACTCTTCCTGATTCTTTGCATGATTATATGTTTACTCAGGCCTATTTATCTTTGCTCTGCACCTGTGACTGTCAATGAACTGCATCATATCAGCTCCAGGGCTGATAATGCACTTAAGGAATTTATATTTCAAAAGCCAAGAGCTGCTGATCCAAATCACATGAAACCACACAGAGAAGTGGCAACTTCCTCCATGGAAAAACAGCAGTGGTAGCAAACAGGACATGCCACCTCTGACCCACTTTAGATCACTTTGGCTCACCCTATGAAAGAGTGTGGAATAGAAAAAGTGTGAACTGGCACAATGGGAGAAAGAACAACTTGGAACAAAAGGAAACAGCTGAAAGCCAGTTGGCTCTTGTGGAAGAAAGTGCTGATGAGCAAGGCTCAACAGCATCGAGACTAAAAATACAAACAGACGAGAGACACTTCCCCCAGACAAGCCAAGCAAAGCAAGATAACTGTCTATGAAGATGAACCTTCCAAGTCCCGCCACTGAGGTAACAACACACTGTAGTCACCATGAGAAAATGGCAAAAAAAAACAGGAGGACCAGCTGGAAAAAAGATCAGCAAAGAAAAGGCTAAATGCCTTCATCTGTTGCAGACCGCAGACTGAACAAGATAAAGGAGGCTACTGACCCACCTTCATTGTCTCTTTGCCAACAACAATTAACTGGATGCCTGGCAGTTACCTTAGATATAAAACAGAGCTACGTCCTGGTTCAATGATCAGAGCAAAGCTAAAAACCTCAAGTTTATGGTGCTTTGATTCCAGTGCCAATCTGTAAAATGCCATGGGTTATGAGCAGAAAGCAGAACGCGCTGCCAAGTCTTACAAGCCACAGGTGAAAAGCAACATGCAGGCGCACAAAGAGACACACACACACAACCTTTTATCCCCCCATTTCGCCCATCTTGTGCCCTCCAGCATCAATCAACACAAAAGACACACACACCCATGCAAACACACACACACACACACACACACACACACACACACACACACACACACACACACACACACACACACACACACACACACACACACACACACCCAGTTGTGCCCATTTGTGACAGTGCAAATACCCTCTAACAGCCTCCATCTGGTACAGAGCGTAGTTGTTGTGGAGGGGTGGTGGATGAAGAGGGAGGGGAGCATTTCCTGAGGAAGCAGCTGGCTGCCTGCAGGGCAACAAAACAGCAGGATTATAGGGATGTAAAGGTGAATGTGGCACAGACCACAATGTACAGAGGGTAGCAGAACCGGGGTGGTATATGGTTTAAAAAAGCCTTTGAGCTGGTGGCAAGACTGAGGCGGTGCAGCAGCAGTTGAAAAGTACCAGGGTGAGAGCTGAGGTACTGATTACCCCCATGAGCGCAAACCCAGCGCTATGTCCTTGAGGTTAACCTGGCCTCATTTTTAGCCTACATCTCACCACGTTCAGCTGAATGGGATGGTATATAGAAGGACAGGAAGAAGAGAAAGACCAGTCGCTGCTCTATAACTGACACCAGGGCAAATCATGTATACAGAATCCAGAAATGCATCTTCAATGTTGTTCAAATGTGATGTTAAAAAAACAAAAATCATACAACACACTTGACTTATTTCTGACAAAAGGTTTATAGCACTATTAGAAAGTGAATCGTAGGGCTTTAACTGACTCTTTTTTTGTCACTGGAATCAGATTTGACTGGTTCATACAAAAGTACAATAAATTGTTTCCTTTTTTTTCTGCTCAGCGCCACAACAAGCTCCAACAAGTCGGATGTTTTCTGCATGTTAATCAGTTTTCCCCCAAAAAATATTACCACAGTATTGAACTACAATTTAACTAGAAGCTGGATTTTAGTCATTTACTTTTCTTGTACGTTTAAAGTTGGCGGCAGCTCATCTCCCACCTCCATGACAGCTTTTCTCAGTGTTTTCTGGATTGCTTTGTTTGTTTTAGAGAGGTAGATCATTTTCTCCTATCAACTCTTTTAAATGATTAACACAGACGGAGACAATTGGCAAACACTACAATCTATTGCTCATGACTTACTCTGCATACAATGGTGCAGGTAGAAAACAGCAACGAGCAAAATGTGAAATATTTTGGGTGTCCTCAGCTGATCATTTGAGTCTTTGACTTTTATTGAGCTGTCTTAGTGCATTTTTCATCTTATTGTTGAGTTTAAGGAACTAAAGCGTATTTCCTTCCTTCTCCATAGCGATGGAAAGGCAGGATGAGATCATCCCAGAGCATCCGAACAACAGCAATATCCGGTGCAGTCCACAGGACAAGCGCTGCATACAGAAGACCCTTGCACGCCACCCTCCAAAATCCACAAATCAGAGAAGCAACACTGCCAGGGAGGAGACCAAGGCAGCGCTGGTAAGAGAAACAATCTTTTGACATCTTAATCAGTTTTTACAGAAAAGAACAAACCCAAAGCATTCCCTCTCTGGAGCTCATTCCTCCACCCCAGCAGGTGTTTTATATTAAGGCTTTATGGTTCCAAAGCCAGGAGCGTAACAGTCCCGTAATAAATTGTACAAATTAGTTATTTACAGACCGTAACATTTAATTGCCTTTAAATGAAGTACAGGTGCACATTGACATCAACATGCAATTAGCTCTTTTTTTTAGTGGGAAGATCAGGATCACAACAACCCTGTTGATCATGAACAGCCTGCTTTTACCACAGTTTAGTCCATAAAAATCAGAGAAATGTGTTACATTATGGCACAGTAATGTCACACATGCAAAACATACATACTTGTGTATGTCATCATTTTTTATGAATGAGAACCACATACTTTGGACTCTTAACTTTTTATTGTAAAATAAACATTTTTAGACAGGATGCTGTGTATAAACTAAACTCAGTTTTAAAGAAAGAGTAAACCTTTACAATTCTATAGAATCACAAATAATTCTCAATACTCTTTTCTTTTTGTTCCTGTCTGAATCTAAAATAAATTCAGTTTGTTTCCACACAGAAAGACCCAGTATTTTAATCTACTGTATGTAAATGTAGCAGAATGATCACAATAGCTTCATTTTCATCCGTAGTCCTAACTTTAGGATGAGTTAGTACATGATAAGTACATTAAACTAATTTAATTGTGGCATTTAAATATCAAACTGATGTTCTCCTGAAGGCTCCCTGTCGTGCTGAGCTGCAGAGAGCTTTGGACAGACTGGCATCAAACAGCCGCACACATGATGATCTCTTCACAATCCCCATACCCAACTGTGACAAGAATGGAGATTTCCACGCTAAACAGGTCTGTGAGTTTAAGCACATACACAAACACACTTACTGGATTACTGACAGAGCAGACCCTGATTTGGCTGCGTGTGCTTGCGAACTGTGAATCTTAAAATGTTAAGCCAATACAAATAAAAATGCCGGTCTTTATATTCCAAGCAGTTCCTTTGGAAATACATCTGTGGGCCAAAACACAAAACATGCCTGCAGCCGATGAAATACTGTCTAACTTGTTCAAGATCAACACAAAAGACTGTCGTGGAAAATCCAAGATTTTTCCAGCTCACATTAAAAAGTAATTTACTTCAGAAAATTAACAGTCGCTGTGTGTGTAAACTGCTTTCCCCTAAACTGTTGGACAATAATCCCTACACTGCTGTGATGGATGCAATTAGCTTTTGGATGCAGTTTACTTGTTTGACTTTGCAACGTTGGGCAACTATGAAGATAAGAGTGAGAGAATGAGAGAACCTAAAAACAGAGATAAGACTGCTCTCTGAGCTGTGTATGCATACAAAGCAGCAGATACAGAATCAGTGATAAAAGGAAAAGCACCAGTCATCAAGAGTTGTGTTGGTTGTGTAACGTGGTTAAAGTTTCCCTGTCTGCTCACATTCAGAGGGAACTGTTTACTGTTTAACTTTAAGTGCACTGAGATACAATCTTTCAGGAAGTAAAACACAGGTCATGAAGGGCAACTGGGAATCATTTCATGGCTGGGGTGCTCTGAGATTCTGAACTGATGTTGGAGGCTATTTCAAAACAGCAAACCGTTGGACAAAAAGCACAAAATCACACAACAAGTTTGGTTTTACAGGAAGCCTTAAGGTTCAAAGAAGGAATCTCTGAAGCGTAATAACATATTATGTAATAACATGAAAACAACCTTAAAGTAAATAAATGTCTGTCAAGTATTTATTTTTTGCTGACTGACTAAGCACAATGTAGAGCTAAAGGCCCACTGATAAACATCCTTTCATTTGCAGTAGGCTTAGGAATGGAAATGGGTGTTGAATTGACATTTCAGGGGAAAAAATCACAACCCGCATCTGTCATCAAGCGTTGGTTGGTCCACTTTGAGAGTGTAAACAGAAGTGGTGCACAGTTATTTCAGGCCACTATGGGTGAACAAAGACAATGAAACTTCAAACACAAATTCCAGGTCAAGAAAAAAAGAAATAAAATTCCATGTTTAGATAAGGACAAACACACAAAAGCGCCTGCCACAAATGCTGTTTGGATCTCGGATATAGTGAAGTCCAAAAACTGTAACAGTTTCAAAAAGCTTTAAAAGTTTTAAAAGCTGGATCGGATGGCATCTTGGAGAGGAGTAGCCCCGTCTACAGAACATTAACTACACTTTCATGATAATAAAACTACTCTGTAACCTTTTTCATACCGCTCTGTTGTGTATAAAACCTGCTCTATTGCAAAGAGTGCATGAAGAGTTTGACATAGCCGCCTGCTTTTAAAATTGAAGCCAATGCAGAAGTGCTGCTGAATTTCAGTCTCGAGTTACCTCTTGTTTAGATATTTTGCCCTCCAGCAGTTCATGAGGGAAACATCTGTCTCTTCAATTGCTGCACTAACTACACCAGCTAGTTGCCAAATATTCAGTTTGCTGTTTCGTGTTATGGGGCATTTTTTTAAACAGCTACCTACTGCTGAAGACACATGAGAGCTGTGATTGAAAGAGATTATAGCTGCAATCAATGAAACTCAAACTGTGATATAAATAATGTTATGAAGCTTTGTAGTCCTAAGAAGAAGCTAACAGTTGGGTTACAGCAGATAGGTTGATGCTATGTTAATGAGTGACACTTTAAAGGTGGGGTAAGTAGTAATGTTTGTTGCAGCTTGTAAACACAACACTCAACCTGGGCCCCTCCTCCTGGCTCATCCCACCATAAGCACACACCCACTGCAGGGTTAGCTTGCACGTTTACTGCTTATACCTACACTGCAAGCTACTTAAATACTACACTTGTTGTCATGGAAACGCGGATAATTTACCAAGCTAGTGCAAGTTAACCACCGGTGTTTGGCACTTGCCTGTCCAACAGAGAGCAGACCCAACTCCACGTCTGTGGGTGAAACCAATCCAAGGTTGTTATTATAATGTATTGTAAAATATTGATACTGTTAACCAGACAATACATGACCCTTGTTATGACTTGGCCTGTTTCACGGGTCTGTCTTCTGTGTTTGAGTGTTTGGGGTTCTAATTCAACACAAAGTGAACTGCTGCCATAAATCTTTGGATTGAAACCAGTAATTAAACATTTAAAACGTTTTTAAGGATGGCTATCTTAAAACTTGATGTTGCATTACCCAAAAGAATGGGTATTGCCTTACACCAACAACATAATAACTAGAATTTTCTGCATATATCTTATGCCCACAGTGTCATCCTGCACGTGACGGCCAGCGGGGAAAGTGCTGGTGTGTGGACCAGAAGACGGGCTTGAGGCTGCCGGGTCCGCTGGAGCTGCGAGGGGAACTGGACTGCCACCAACTAATGACTGCGACACAGAGGGATTGAAGAGATAGGAGTGGCAGAGGGAGTGCAGGACCAGCGTAACTCTACTGGTGCTTATTAGCAGAACTACATGTGGAAAAGACTTCGCTCTAAAGCCTCGCTTCACCAGAGGCCCAATGGTACTAGAGCTTGCGCAACAAAAAGGAAACCATTGATATGAGTTCTTTTGCTAATTTCTTTCTGTGTGTGTGAGAGTATGTGATCTCTGAGTCTTTTGAGCACTTGTGTATTGTTTCAATTATATGAACTTAAGACCTGCGCTTCAAAGTAACAGGTGGCAGACGAAGAACTTCTACAGTTGTGGTTGTGATCTTTTTTTGGAGAGCAAATGTTTTGTTTTCTCTTATATTCAGTGAATAATTGTTTAAAAGTAAAAAAAAAAAAAAAAAAAAAAGGATCATTCCCACCAGATAATCAGACCTGAGATACAACTCAGCTGTAAACATTTGTTTTAGTTGTTTCTGGAGCACTATAGATCATTTAGTAATGACAGCAGGACAATCCAGACTGATTAATCATTAAAGGGTTGTGTACTAGTTTTTCACACAATGTGTGTAATTGGTGGTTATGTGTTGCTCTTATCGTACTGGCCTATATGTATAAACCCCACCCATGTTGTAAGTACTTTTAAACAAACCATAAAATATGTATGCCAACACAGAGAAAAGTGAACATTTTGTTTAAAAGATGGGACGATCAGAAGACAAAACTAAAGAATCTGAGGTGACAAAAGAAATCAACAATCAACCAAATGACAAGCCATAGCTTTTCACAACAACATTTGCTTCATCACCCAGTTCTCTCTCTCTCTCTCTCTCTCTCTCTCTCTCTCTCTAGCGTTGTGGACTGGCAGCGTGGATGGGCTAGAACCTCTCTGTACACTGCTGATAGGATAATCTTATTTCTCCAGCTGGTGCTAAGATGCCAGTGTGGCTCTTGTGTCTGTGTGAATATGATTCTATCCTACAGGATTTCTCTCCACACCGACTCTTTCACAAAACTTTAGTGGTGCTATATAATCATTGTGCCAAAAAAATTGTAACAAAAAGATGGTATCTGCACTTTTTGGGCATTGTTTAGGATAAGAATAAGAACATGAGATTTTTCAAGCAAACAGAGATAAGCTGTTATAGTATCAAGTGTGAGGATAAGCTAAATGCATGACCATCTCCAAAGCTATTGACAACCGCTTTTCATGTTTGTTTTCAGTTATATTGTTTAAATATCAGAGAAACATCCCACTTTAGCTCTGCAACATCACTTCATCTAATCGACAAAATGTTCTGTTAACTGGTGGTGAAGATGGCAGCCTTGATGTGTTTTAAAACAGAGGTCGAGTTCACAGTTATATATTATATTTTAATGATGATAGCATGGTGATTATGTGGAAGCAAGCCTCTCCTCTGTTAATGCCAGTTCTCATTTTATCATCTGTAGGCCATCAAGCTCATAATCAAAGGAGTGTATTACCAGGCCAATGTAACATAGCCATCCATCAAATATTTTAAATATACTGTAGGGGAGGCTAAGGTTATTCTCATAGTCATTTTAGTGTACTCTGATGTGACTGACTAGACTTATTTGGTTTGTTCATTAGAGAAGAGGGACACAGAACGTGACAAGTTTGGACAGAAAGTCAGGCCATGTATCAACGGGAGACTTGATAGTATTATCATACTTCATCATAGTAGGGCCAAAACGACAGAAATTCACTAATTTGAGTTAAATGTTAATGAAGCTTAATTTGTGAGCATTTGAGCACAACAAAAGGGTCGTTATTCTGCTTCCACAGAAATAAAGAAGTGCCATAAAAACAAACATTCTGCTTTTTTTGTACAATTTTCCATACTGAATTTGGTAGATTTAAAAAAAATAATAATACATTTATGAAAAATGCACATTCATTTATAAAGAGTCTGAGGAGTTCAGACTCTTTATAACATCGAGTAGCCTTTTAGTTTTTGAAGCCAACGCAAAAGCCTTACGTCTAAATTCTTTCTAGTGGTCAACATGGGCCACTGAAACGCTCGCAAAAACAAGTCTGATTGTAAGTCTACCATCAAATTAAGTCACTTCTCTTTTACATGAATCCCATAGTGAACATTTATCTAAGTAGTTTATGGTGTAAAATCTTAGTTTGATTACTACTAAATTACAACATTATGTTTACTTGTGTAAATAATGTTCCTATTTAGGGTAAATAGAAAGTCATATCTGCATTCCATTTAAATATGGTGACTTTTAGCAAAAAAATAAAAACCAGTAAAATGACGATGCTCTCAACCCAGCTAGGAAAGGAAAGATGGTTGCTTACTTCCAACATGAATCTGTCATGAATCTAACAAAAGGGTGTGAGGCTGACATTCTGGAGATTAAAATAATATTTCTTCTAATTTTACACCTTCAAACTTACATAATGTTTTTAGTGCACTTTGTTATTTTATAATGTTACAAAATGTATTTATGAGCTTCAATTAAATTTAAAAAATGAGGTTTACACACAAAATGACTGGCCTAGTTATTTGGCAAAGGATATAACTGAATCGATGAAGCCAGTTGTCACTTGATAAACTCTGGAAACTTTATAATCTTGTGGCTTCTTCTTATTGTAAGTAAAGAAGGACATGAATCCAAAGTGGTTTGACTGAAGGATAGAGAGAAGATAGCACGGGTTGAGACACAATGCTTAGAGCTAAGAAGCCAAAAGTCCGAAAAACAGATCCAAAGACTACACCAACAATGTACTCACTAAAAACCAATTCCAGCAGAATCTCAATCATTTAACAATGACACGTGACTACATTTCTCTGTTCAATAATCAGACTTTTTGAAAGAAGTGTTGAAGAGCTTTGGCTTTGATTTTTTCAAGGCCTTGTAACTAGATAAACTGTATCAAAGGCGTAGTGCTTGATCTCTAACTTTGCCGTTCTTAATGGTCATTGCATTTCTAACGATGAGAAAGACTGTTCCTTTTGCTTTTGATATTATATACTAATGTGTAGAAGATACTAGGTAATTTTTTTGCATGCATACAAATGGACTAGGGCTGGAGAAAATAACTTAAGGTCTTGTGTATCTGTCCAGGACAGGACCGTTATATTCAAAAACTGAAGTGATCAAATAACTGAAATATAGAACTTCAACCGTTTAAATGATCAGTTACATTGTAATTGTTTTCCCTTATAAAAATGTACACATTTCAATACAACAATAAAACCACTTTACAAACTGTAATGTTGTCGCTGTTATTAACTGACACTATAAAGACAGCTTTTGTCTTTATATCAATGCTAGGTGCTATTGGACAAATCCACAGTATCAACTAAAGAGCCGAGAGGAACAGACTGGCAAGAAGAAGAGTTATGAAGCAGTTTCACTACATGCATGACCAGTCGCTCACTGACCGTGACGAGATATTGATAAATCATAGAAGATGACATGGAATAAGAAATGTTCATGAGGTATTTAAGTATATGAATGAAGCTCTAAGAATTTAAAAATGACTAGAAGGGAAAGAGAGTACCATGGGAGGTGTTTGTCACGGTGTATGTGTGTGTATGGTGTGCTTGTGGAGGGTAGGGGGTTGGGATGAGGTGTATAGGTATTAACTGTATGATAAATAAAAATGATATGAATGAACAGGTTTCTCGTATTTTGTGTCATATGTGTTGTTGTTTTAATGAAGTAAGGGGGAAGTTTACAGGGGCAGTTTAAATTCACAATGATCAACAGAGATGAGGGAGAGGGTATTTCAGAGCTTGTACACCAGTTTCTCTCATCAGATGATATGAATGTAAAATTAAGAAGAGAGAAAATGTTTTTATGGTCAGAATAGAAAAGAATAGACTTTATTGCCATTGCACAAGAATACAATGAAATTAACTGTGCCAAACTGTAACTATTCAGTTTACTGTAACTATTAAACATAATTCTTGATGTGTCTTTTTTACACAGAAATTGAATAATATCTCTATGCTGAGTCTATTGTGGAAAAAACCCCAGGTATATAATGATAATACTCAAGGCATTTGTCCAGGGAATACCTCTGGGATGATACCTCATAATAATCTGGCAACAGCAGCTTCTAAAAATACCTACTGTCCACCTCCAGAGTAAACTTTCAAGTCGGCTTAGTTCCACTGCCTGAGTCTATTTTGGAGAGCTCTACAGGCTTAAGAACTGGGTCCGAATCAGATTTACCAGAACAGCTTTACAGGTTTCCCTATGAGTGGTTCAAGCGATCACAGACCCTGTACTGCCTCTGGGCGTCCACCGTCCCACAGCTGTGCCTGGGAGGCCCTGCGTGAGTGTCCATGTTGAGCCTGCACAGTAGCTTACAGGAGGCATGTGACCTTCAACTACCTCCAGATGTACTCCATCACAGGCATCCAAGGCTAAACAAGGTCCTGCCCATGCCTCTTGTGGAATCTGCCAGGCCCCCCTTCCTCTCCATACATCTTCCTAGCCATTGCTTTGTGATGAAAAAAGATAAAGCACCACACCTGCGGATGAGCCCACAACAGTGTCCGCTTGCATATCATACAGGATGCAGGTCAAGCAGAAATAAAATAAGCTCTAAAGTGTGCAGTATAAACAGAAAGAACCGGGGTCACAATGAACACAATCAATTAACAAATCCTAAACAAGTACTATTCAGGTTGAATGGACAGAGATATAGGCTAAATCCTACAGGCTTTGGGTTGTTTTTTTAGGGAACACACTATTACAACTATTGACCTGGGCGGCTCTCAAACAATGTGAACAAGAATGCAAGGTATTTCAGTTCTCACAACAGGGGAGCAGTGAATAGGGCAACCTTGATTTTTTTCTAAAGCTTAGTGGCCTGTAAAGTGTGCATAATGCAACTTATAGTATGGTGACATAGTAAATCAGCATTATACATAACTTATATAATTCTGATAGCGTAAGCTGCAGAGCACCTGCACTGGCATGGTAGGCTCCATGTATTTGCAGTCATCATTTAAGTCAGCTTGCCACTACAACTCAGGTGTAAAAAAAAAAGCTGCAGTGTTTCTGACAAGTCTTATCCTGATGCTTATTATGAAGAAATGCTTTGTAAACGTGGAGCCCCAGTAACTTAAGCTTTGATATTACACCTTTTCTCTTTTCCTCTGAATGACGACAAAGATGCTTACTGTCATAAGATAAGATAAGATATACTTTATTCATCCCAGCAGGGAAATTTAGGTGTTCCAGCAGCCAGCATACATACACACAACACATATATATGATGATGATTGAAGATGATTAATTTATTTTCGTGTCACGCACACAAAGTGCCCGACCCTCATGGGCTTATAAGACACCAAAGAATTCAGTTGCAGTGGTTTACATTTAAAAATCATAACATTACAAAGTTGCCGGCTCCTGTCACAGTTCAGTCTTAAACAACGTGTTCGCTCTTTTTTCCCAGGCTTTACAAACAAAATCTGCTATAACAAAGGTTCCTTTTTTAAAACACAACTCAAGTTTTTCATAATCGTCTAGCCAAAAGAAATCAACATAAATTGAAGACATTCTTTTAAAAAGAACATCCCTGATGTCAGCATACATCGGGCAGTAAAACAAAAAGTGAATCTCGTTTTCAGTTTTTCTTAACTCACCCAACAAACAAACTCGATCTTCCTCTGGAATTAAACCTGCCGGTCTCTAAAGCTAAAGGCAATGTTCCTGAACGTAGCTGAGCGCAGAGGGATCTAGGGGTCTTTTGGTTAAATTAAATTTAGCATAGGCTTCTACACTGTAGCAATCCTTTATGAGACAATACGTTCTTAGTTTTGGTTTGCACCAAATATCCACAGACAATTTCTCTTTGTACATTAGAAACATATTATTTTTTTATCTCCTGAATATCACAAGTTAACTTATTTAGATATACATACATATCCCACCCATACAAAAAACATGAGCCCACAATACATAGCCAGGATAAAGAAGTGGTCCATGTGCATAAGTAGCAGTTACTCATAGATACTAGCTCTGCCAGTGCATAGTATGATAGATAAATAAAGAATTATGATAAAAAAGCTGTCAAGTGTGCAAATATACAGTTTGATATATGCAGCTCAGTTTAAATGTCTTCTGTCCTTACTTAAAGGGGAGTGTATGTGTGAATAACCTGCAGCAGTGACAGTTTAGGTGCAATGAGCATCAGCATCGACAATAGGAACAGCTGTAATGAGGAGAGAGGGGTGGGGGTGTAATTCTGGAAGATTCTGCAGGAATCTTATGAGTGGACCCCATTTCATTCGTTTATTCTGGGGACTGTTTCTCTGAGCTAAAGGTGGTTAGCCTTCCCTGTCAAAACCAAAACCTACTTAGAGGGGACTTAAGAGGTTTATGGTGAGTTATCTAGACAACTCTTTAGTACCTACTTGCTTGTCACCATGAAAATCTATGAGAAGTTGTATATCTCTAAATGTGCAGATGTGATTTGACGCTGCATGCTAATGACATCTGTCATTTTTATTTTGGGTTGCTAACAAGGCCTCGGCCTGTTTCACATCGTTACCGTACTTTAATTAGGCTGACGAGCAAAGATAAATATGAATATTCACTGTCATAAAATACTTAACGTTAAAAGCCACACATGTTTACTGTTTACGCATTTAGCTTAGAGCTACATTATGCTAGCATATTAGCATTATGCTAGCGGAAGACAGTCACGAAGACAGGCTAATTACTGGTGCCATCCCACCTATTAGCACCCCAAAAGGCGTAACATCTTTAGCATTGGAAGCCTTATACAAGCTGCCACACATATTCTTTAGAAAACATGAAATTGCTAACGGAGTTATATATCTAACCTGTCTAGTCTCTTACAACTTAAAGCTAACGTTGATGCTAGCCAGCGTTAGCCTGCCCTTGTTGTCTTCTCAATCATCGTCGGCATTCCTTTGTTTTGTTTGTGCTTTCTGTGAACCATCCTGTCAACGCAACTTATAATTATGATCTGTAACGCAACTCTAAAACTTTTTATGTGTTACAGATCCAATGACTGGAATGGACTTATAGCTTCATCACAAAGATGTCAAGTAAGGAACGGGGAGTGTTTTAGCGAACTGTGACGATAAATTAATCCCATAGACGATCTCTGTAGGTCAGCATATCTATAGACGATCTCTGTTGGTCAGAATATCTATGCATATTTTAACACATCACACCTGCAGTTTTTATGACTACAGGTCAGGTGATATTGATATTATGAGGCACAAAAAATGACTAAAGTATAAATAAATAAATAAATGTTGGGAGAAATGCAAACAATAATGTATAAATAATTAAATAATTAAATAAATGCATCAATAAATATATTCATATATTTATTTATTACTCCCAACATTTATTTATTTACACTTCAGTCATTTTTTGTCCCTCATATGATATAACACTGCAGTATCAACGTGTATTGACTGTAAATGATTCTTAGATCATTTTATTTTTAAGGATTTATTGCACATAGAGCAAAACGTTTTCTTTATTGATCATCAGTGCAAAAGAGTTATGGTTGGCTTGTTGGGAATTTGTTAAAAGTCTGCTATTTCACTGGCCTGATGAAGATGTTTGTGTTGAAATTTTTCTTTCTAAACAGAGAGACCATCTTATGCCCCTCCTCCTCCCCCTGCCCCTACAACTGTACGTATTCATAACTTAACATGACACTAAATATTGTCTGGATATCCTAAATTAAGCTAAAATACCTTCCTGTACATTCTGTGCTTTGTCAAAACATGTTATTTAGTAAGACCTAAGTATTTTTTTAAATCCCCCTCTGCTTCTGTAAAGATGATGTCCATAGAGCCCAAGCATGAATGCAAGTTTCTTTAGTTTGCATTTTCCAAGCTCCTTTCATCTGTCCTCAAATGTTTGTTTTGGCTTTCTCTTCTAATTTCCCCTCCTCTTCTTTTATGTCATTTCTCATTCATATTTCTGTCTCATTTGTTTCATCAGCAAATGCCCAACACTGCCGGGTTTGTGGGTTACAACCCTTACAGCCACCTGGCCTACAACAATTACAGACTGGGAGGAAGCCAAAGCAGCAACAGTCGGGTAACGGTATGAATACCAATACTAAGAATATTATGTAACCTGGAACTTAATGCAGACCCAATCGGTATAATTATTGATACACATTTCAAAGATCAATCTATATCATCTTTAAAACAAGCCTTTCTTTTAAATTCAAATGGTAAATCTGTGTCATTGTTTCCATC